GCCTTCAAGAGATTAGTATGTAGAAACACCGAATTGGAGTCATCGCAACATACATCGGCATAGTGTTGGCGGGGCACCGCGGGGGCACAAGTGGATAAGAGACGATAAAAGGTAGGGTGTCGTTATAGCTGAGCCAAGCAGACTCGATATTGATGTGATTAAAAGCAGAAAATGGCTTCCAAAATATGGACACGGGGATTCTTTTATAGCAAAAGAGAAAAGAAGGCCAATTAAGAATGGGGAATATGCTGTGACTCAAATGGGCCCGTCAATGACGCCGAGTTTTTCGGCGCCGACAGCGGAGTCACGTGATGGGTATATTGTCAACCACAGGGCGTGAAGATCTGCAATTGACTTGATGATGAAATTGAAATACCGCTGGTAGATTGCCAATGTCAATTAATGTCATTTATATTCCCGTTACTTTTATTTGACAGTCATATGCAACGAATATCTACATACTGTGCCCGTCTCCATAGAGGCCCGAACATCGGAGTGGTGTCTCCTGAGGCATCCACCCCGCGGATAGCCGCAGGCATTGTTTGGAATTATTGTGTGCTTCAGATGGAATGATGACTTGATTCGGAAAAGATCGGTCTAATATACAATGATAGGGCAAAGATCCAGTCAGACACGCTCAAAATGACAACACATATAGTTATACAACATACAAAGTTACACAAAGTTCTTCTCGAGTTCCACCAATAGCGGATGAACTTCGTCCACACTAAGCTTGACAGCTCGAGGATTCTGCAGCGCATCATCACCGAGTCTGGCTTTGATCAGCGCCTGCAATGTCTGAGCATCTTTATCCGTCTTGCTCTTCATCTGCCCAGTAACATCAACGGAGATGCCACCATCGGCCAGGTCCCGTGGTCCGAGAATGAAGATGAGGTTATACTTCATCTGTTTGGCGCGCTGAATCTTCTTGCCCAGAGTCTGTGCGCTGGTATCGATGTCCACCAAGAATGTAGAGTCGACAGAGGACAGTGGACGGGGCGATTCAGAGCTACCATCATTCAGCAATGCGCGGAAACCAGCGAACTTGGCTGCCGCTTCTTGAGCCCGGCGCACAACAGCATCGTCTTGGTTAACCGTCAAGATAATGGCCTGGCGCGGAGAAAGCCAGAATGGCCAGTGACCACCGTGCTGTTCAATCAGCAACGCCAAAAACCGCTCCAATGAGCCGAAGATGGCGCGGTGGACCATAACTGGTCTTGCAACTCCGGGCGTGGCTGGGTTGTAGTCCGGCTCCTCCTCTGCAACTTGATATTCCAGCTCAAATCGCTGTGGCAGGTTCATGTCCAATTGGATAGTTGACAGCTGGTGGTACTTTCCAGCTTGATCCTGGAGTTGGATGTCGATCTTGGGGCCGTAAAACGCACCATCGCCTTCATTCAGCGCCCATTCGCGTCCGGTGCTATCCAGAGCTTCGCGCAATTGCGTCTCGGCATTATCCCACATCTCCAAAGTCCCAATATAATCCGTTTCGGGTCTGGTTGACAGCACCAATCGATACGGACCGAGTCCAAATGTCTTCATAGCCATATCCACAAATCCCAGCGCCGATGCAATCTCCGATTTGATCTGCTGCGGTCTACAGAACAGATGTCCATCATCCTGATGGAAACGCCTCAGGCGCGTCAAGCCAGTCAGCGACCCGGACACTTCGTTGCGGTGCAGCGGGCTGAAGTCTGCATAGCGCACTGGCATGTCGCGGTAGGAGTGATTCTGCGACTTGAAGAGTAGGCAGTGGCCGGGACAGTTCATTGGCTTCAGTCCGTAGGATTCGTCTTCACCCACTTCGCCCTCTGCCTCACTACTGGCTCCTCGGCCGGTCACCTCATACATATCATCCTTGTAGTTCTGCCAGTGGCCCGATATCTCCCAGAGCGACTTTTTGTAGATGATCGGGGTTAGGACTTCACGGAAGCCATATTGTAGGTACTGGGTGCGGAGGAAGGAGATGAGTTTGTTGACAACATGTGTGCCATTCGGGAGGAATAAGGGAGATCCAGGACTGTAGACTGAAGATGTGAAGAGCTCCTGGGCGGTTCCGATAGCTCGATGGTCGGTGGGAGGTATCGTGGGAGCTTCCGGTTTGTCAGAACACGAGCAATGGCGAATCGCTGTGTATGACAACGGTCGCGATCGTACAAATTGCCATGACAGAGATCGAACGCCAGGCAAGGACGGTCTCAGGCGAAGTAATGAGCGCATGGTTGCTAAAGGTTCAATTCCTCGGCCGCGTTTCTCCGATCTTTCTTCCCCACCGCTTTACGCGTGCGGTCTGATTGAGCCAGTCGCAATCAAAACATTTGTTGAAACACTCCGAGTCATGAGATATTAACTACAGAACTATTAACTATTACACAAAGTGCATGTTTCTTGCTGAAATGTTTACGCCATGTCTACAGAACAGCCTCGTACCCCAGATCGCTCAGCTCTTGGCGAATCCTGGGTGATAGCATCAACTGCTTCTCTGAAGGAAAAAGACCCCACCAAAACTCCAAATCGCCGACGTGACAGCAGCAAAGCGACCAGAAAGACGGCCAACCTGTCAGCAGAGTCGCCCACATCCTCATCCTCATCATGGACTATATCAGGCCCGGAGCTCATCATGCCCTCTATCTGCGAAGCACCTAACTTAGACGGGTCTTGGGTAGAATATGTACGGACTCCGACGCAACAAGGCCCAGAAAGCATGAAAAAACGACGCAAAGTGTCCACGCCGAATGATGTAAAGCAGAAAGAGCAGGATCAGACCACTAAAGCTGGATATGCAGATGCTGGGTTGTCTGCAGAGACGACCCCCACCAAACAAGCAAGCCTAGTCGTGAAATCCAAATCCATCTTTCGTGGCCATAGTGCCCTCGCTCGCAAAGCAATCAACGCAGTCTTGATCGCCTTCATCTTGCATCTGCTAGTTCTCCCCGAGGTAGTCTACCAAGCCAAAGACCTCTGCCGTATCCCAAGCATCAAGACTCTCTACCCCAACAGCTGCATCACCCTCCCTGCATACCAACCACGCAGCGCCTATCCTCCATCCACAACACCTCGAGAGGAGACTCTCGCAACCGCCCAGCGCCAGCTAGAATCCATATTCGACACGGCCCTCGAAACCCTCACACCTCTATCCGCAATCCTCAAACAAAGCGAAAGCATGCTCGCTGACCTAGAATCACAACTGAAAACAACCTTCCCAGACGCCCGCAACGCACTGGATCTCGAATTCACCGGCAGCAACCAAGCCGTCCAAACTGCAGTCTGGGAATTCGACTCTCTCCGCGCCGACCTACGCTCCGCAATCGACAGCCTGCTCGCCTCCCGACCAGCAACCGAAATAAGCGGCACCGCAGCTCTAGACACACGACTCGCGATACAGCTGCGACGACGCGAAGAGTACCTAGACCGACTACGCGCGCAGATCCGCAGCAAAGCAGACTCCCTCAGCACGCGATTCATAACAATAGACGACCATCTCGAAGCGGTGGACGGGATCGTATCACGCGAGGAACGGCGGAGTCCAACATTGCACAATTCCCGATCTGCATCTGACGACAGCAGCAGCGATAGGCTATACTCCGTACTCGATTCGCTCCCGCTGGGACCCTTCGGGGCATATTTGTTCCGGGGGCGATCGTCAGGAGATGCAGATGCCATTGCCAATGCAGATGCATTGACGGAGTCGTCATCGTCTGCCGTGTCCTCCACTGCATCCACCGAACCCACATCTACACCCCGGCCCGCCGCAACTCTTGCCCTGCTCAGGGTCGCGGCCACGCACCATCGTCCCGTTGCTGACTCGGTGTTGCGGTTATCACGCCAGTTAAAGGATGTGCGACGTGCGACTGGGGCTGGGTCCACTTGGTGAATTGAGGTCTCCACGGGGGTTGGGGACCCTGAGGAGAATCTCGGATTTTTGTCAGGGTCCGAAAGTTGATCGAGTTTTCAGTTGAAGGGTTTTCTTCCAGCTGTTGACTACCTTTTTTTTTTTTTCTTCGCACTTTGGGCGTTTTCTATCCGCGAACATGAGATGAGATGAGTTAGACGCAATAACGAGCCACGACGGTATTTTACCATTTACGATTTGTTTTTATTTTTTACGAAGGATGTTGTACCTACCTACTACGATATACGAAGTAAAACATACAATTCACATCCAAACAAATACAATACATCGTACATACATACATACAACATAGTAAATCCGGTAAACCAAACCCAAACCCCTGGAAACGAATGTATCCGATATTGCGCCAACCACGGTTCGGCTATACATCAATACTCAACCAACCAATCCGACTACAGACATCTCGCCTAGGCACAATTCATCACCAGCCAATCCACAATCAGGCCCATTACAATTCAAGTTCAATCAACAGCCTGATCCACGGTTCATGGTGTGCAAATTTTCCCAGGGTCCGGGATTCTGTAGGTGTTCGTCCGCAGTGCCGGATGGCGGATGGCGGTTGGACCATAGTGGAACTCTAAGCCGAGGGAAGCGAGGACTGGTATGCATATGATTGATGCGAATGTGATGCCGGTGTTGGAACGTATATATATAACTTAGCCGAGCACGATGGGATGACAAGTCAAGGGATATATAACAACCAGAAACAAGCGGTGAAAGGTCTAGATTAGATTGTATACAATGGAAAAGATTAAAGTGCTTGAGAAAGTCAATTGACTTGATATTATTGCAGGTTTGCTCGATGGCAAAGTATGTATGACGCTGATAGATACATGATGTCCGCCCAAAGAAAATCGCCAGTTACCGGAAGATGCCAATCAACACATCCGGGCCACCTAACAAATAGGACAGGTTGCAGGCATTTGGGCGCCAAGGACAACGAAAAGGGAAAAAAAAAGGTACAGCCAGAAAAAATTACAATCGCATCCCATCAACCATTACCATACCCGGTCCAGCCAAGTATTCCTCTTTCGAGGCGCGTGTCATTAATGATGCGTCAAAAAATCATAGCGCTCAAAAGGGACATTTACAGCTGGAGCAGGGCGGTCACCAGACCCAGGAGGGACACGGGTCCCAAGTAGGTAGCAGCGACAGAGGCAGCTGCGTTGAAGGTGGGGCTAGCGCTAGCGCTGGCACTGGAGGACGAGCCAGAACCCGAGTGGGAGCTGGAGCTGGGGCTGGAGCTAGAGCTAGAGCCGGAGCCGGAGCCAGAGCCGCTAGAGCCGCTAGGGGAAGCACCAGAGCTGGAGCTGGAGCTGGAACCAGAGCTGCTAGAGCCACTGGGGGAAGCACCGGCAGCACCGGAGCTGGAAGCGGCAGTGGATTCAGCACCGGAGCTGGAAGCAGCAGTCGACTCAGCACCGGAGCTGGAAGCAGCAGTCGACTCAGCAGTCGACTCGGCAGATGAAGAGCTAGAAGCCGCAGTGGACTCAGCAGAGGAGATGGAGGTCCTGGTAGCCAGAGTAGTGGGAGCGCTGGAAGTGCTCTCGGTAGTAGTAGAAGGAGCCTCGGTGGTAGAAGGAGTCTCGGAGGTGGAAGGAGACTCAGTAGTGGAAGCAGCCTCGGAAGAGGAGACGGTGGCAGCATCAGTAGTAGTAGGGCTGCGAGAGCTCACGGCGTTGGACCCGGTGAACTTGATGCTGTCGGAGGAGCCAGATTTGTCGGACCAAGTGTAGGACTCGGCGGGGTTGGCGTTGTTGACAGTGATGCTCTTGATGTACATAGTGTAGGGGCCCTTGGAGTAGTCGGTCAAACCACCAGCCCAGTCAATGGTACCCTGTCCGTTGGTAGGAGCACCACCGGCCCAGATACCAAGGTGAATGTTCATAGGGGTCTGAGGGAAGCGAGCACCACCCTGGGCATCTGCGTAGTTGACAGTGCGGAGACTGGCGCCATCAATCAACCAGGTGATACTCTCCTTGGACCATTGGATGGTGTAGGTGTGGAAAGAGTCCTGAGGAGTGCTGACGGGGACCCAGGTCTCACGATCATAAGTCGAGGTGTCTCCCTTGCCGAAGTAGTTGGTCTCAACGGTGTCAGTCTTTCCGCCCAATGCTTCCTGTATTTCGGTTAGCAATTATTCTGTATGTTGGAAGTAATGATCCGATTTCGATATCACGTACCCAGTCAATCTCATCCTTGTCATCGGATTGCAAAAACGCGGAGCTGACAATGCCTTGGCCAGGAGAAGTCTTCATCTCAATGGACAATTCGCCGTAGAAGAAGTAGAAATCGCTGACGATGGTAGGAGCATCTCCTTCCTTGTTGATAGTGAACTGGGCACCGTTGGCGGTAGTTGGAACTTGTCCGCCACTGATCTTCCACTGGTCAAGGGAGCTAGCCTGGGTGAAGTCGAAGTGAGCGCTGGACGAAGCCAAACCCTTGTTGGCAGGGCATGTTGTCTCCATCGGATTGCAGTCAGAGTAAGTCTGAGCAGAAACGAAAGGTGTAGCCACGGCGAAAGCCGCAGCCGCGAACTTCATGAACGACGGCATTGTATGATATGATACGCGTCAAGAAGTGAGTGTGAGTGAACACGAAAAGAAAGGAAGTCCAGGAAGCGACCCTATTAAATATAAATATCTCGAGCGTGGAAAGTAAGAACCTTGGGAAGGAACGACTGGGACCGCTTTATATATCTATCTCCATATAAAAGTACGGAATATTCCGTATATCAGTAGAAATATATTACACTGCCACACGCTACTAAAAAAAAGGGAGGCGGGAGTGACTGGCAGGACATGATTGGATGAACGGACAAGGCCAGAGAACCACTGAGACAAATAGAAAAGGTCGGACGAGTCTAGTGGACCCCTTTGGGATCTTCCATGAGGGGGAAGTGGAGTACAAAAGACTCATGTCCTTGGGTTTGCGGGTCGTGAGACACGGATGAGGCTGGAAACAACCACGGGTGGCATTGTATTGATACGATACATCCATACATCCATACATGAATAATCCGTACATTTACCGTTCCAGCCGATCACAGCGATCAGATGTTACAGATTGAGCTCGCGTAGTTATGAGCACAAAACAAGTACGGTTGCATCAAGGGTCCATAAAAGAAAATTCAATAGGATAATATACATCATACTATGTACTCCGTATTATGAGACCTTTTCAAAAATAGCTCCACTGACAAAGCCTATTATGGCCTTATCAGGAGGGGCTTCTTTTTTTCATTCATCCCCAGCTTGGATTTTATATTAAAATCCCAACCACGGCATTTATCACATTTATTACTCCGTACATCTATTACATCTATTACCTCCTAACAATCCTATGCTTTAGTATTGGATAGTCTTCTTATATGGATCACCCTAAAACCCCCCAATCCCCCAAATTAACGCCTATCATTACTTATCGCATCCATATGCAATCGTGAAACACGGGCCACCCAACCACTAAGACCACCGTAGTCTACAGTATGAGACCTTTGTCCAAGACATTTCCATTCCGTTTCCGCTTTCGTTGCCTTTTACAATATATAACAATATACTAGTATGTTCTACTAAGTACTGCTCGCGTAAAATTGCCCCAATCCGATACTAATAATAACTATCAAGGCCACGGGTTCACCGTTTTCTATCAGATGACTCAGGAACTAGCGGCCTGTGCCTGAACTAGTACCTGACGGGATTTAGCCATATTGCCTCATTGGTAGAATAGCGATGAATTTATTCTTGTCTCTCAAAAGTTCAAGGGTTCCAGAGTTGAAAGAGTTGAAAGAGTAATTTCATTGTATCCATGCAGTGTCTTTCTCCCTCCTAACCTCCACCTCCTCTCATGCAAGGTCATGCAAGGGGTCATTGGTTTGAGGTTGCCTTTCAGACCCTTAATTATTAGTCATATTTACACAATTGCTAACAAACTCGTCTGCTTGGCTGTGGATTCGCCTTGGCTATGGAGCTAGCATGCAGGAACGTTGGTCAATCTGTCCAATCACCGTCTCAACTCATCTTGCCGAGTAAAATACTCGCTTACAACACACATTATTGATCCATGGCTGGAGACCCCTAAATTAAGATCAAACTTGAGTAAAACGTGGCATTGGAACTCTAGGTAGTAGGTACCTAAACCTTGGAAGAATGTGGTGTCCCCGGAAAAATAACCTCCAGGCGACCATGGATCCCACTTTCTAAAAAAAGAGCCCAACTACCTCAGAACCTTCCATAATTCAACCTCCTCCTAATATCACCGATGCACTGTAGGAAACTCACAGAGTCACCTCAGCAGGTCCAGTCAACTTGATGTCGACCTTCTTTGTAATGCTCTGTCTCTGAGCATCATATTCAACATCGCGACGCTTATTCTTCTGCCCGAGCAGAGTAACAGCCTCAATGACCACATTAGGGTGATACCCGAACCGGCCTAGAATCTTGAGCTTGCCATCCTGGTACTGGAACTGGATCTCCGCGGCACTAGCCGGCTCAATCGACTCGCCATCGTCGAGGTACAGCTCACCCGCCGCGGATCCATCCGCACCAGGCGCAATGAGAATCTCAAAGCCGCGCTTGCGCAGTTCCGTCGTCGTCTTGGCACTCTCCGTACGGAGGGGGATGATGCTCCCGCCACGGATGTGGATCGGGATATCGGTAACCGCGAGATCGGTAATCGTCTTGACGGATCCACCGCCCTGCACCGCAAGACCGGTAAACCAGTCGTAGAACAGGTCCTTGGGGAAATAGGCATCGACCGAGCTGGCGCCTTCGTCCAAGACAGGCGAGACGAGAATCGAATCACCGAAGAAGAACTGCAACTCGTTGCCAAAGGTCTTGCTGTCCTCTGGGTAGACGTAGAAGAGCGGCTGGAGGAACGGGCTACCCGTCAAGGTCTGCTGGTGGAACGAAGTGTAGAGGTAATCGAGCAGACGGTATCTGATATCGATGATCTTCTTCGCGGCCTCGGTGACAACGGGCCAGCGATAGAATTCCTGCGCCAGGTTGCCGAGCGAGTTGTGGTTCCGGTAGAACGGAGAGAAGGCGCCAAGCATGGCCCAGCGCGCGCACAGCTCTTCCGTCGTGTCTCCGCCGAAGCCGCAGACGTCGCTGCCGACCATTGGGACTTGGTAAATCGAGGCGAAGGCTAGCATCTGCGGGATGGACACGCGCAATTTATCCCATTGGCTCAAATTGTCGCCGAGCCTGGGGGAATGGGTTAGCATATGTCTCTGGTACTGGTTTGGGGTTTGGGGTTTGTCTGGTCTTACCAATGGCCGACATGAGAGCCTGCTCCGGCGAAAGTGCTACGTGTGATGATCAAGGGTCGCACCTGGGGTCGACGCTTCAACATTGCCTCGCGGGAAGCCGAGCTCATCACTAGGTTGTTGTTAGAAAGATTATTGATAGTAAACACAGGGGACTCACTAGTTCCATAGAGATTGTGTGTGTCGTACTCGGCGTAACCCTCGCCAGCATGAATGAGATCAGTATCAATGGTCTTGCTGCTAATCGAGCCAGCCTCGTTTGCGATCTGATAAAGCGGGTTAATGAGGTCGCGACCAGACAAGCCGGTCTTTTGTCCCTTTCCACCCTGGCTCCGTTTCTCGTTAACGCTGCGTTTCTCGATGACAACGTCACCTCTCTTCACACGCTGCGACAGAGAAGCCCCAGAGGAGGAAGACCCGGGCTGGAAATCAGCCGGGAAACCGGGGAGATGGCGGGGAGGCGATCGGACTGCCGGAGGCGCAGGGGGTAGGTCGTTATCCTTGGTATACTGTTCTGGGCTCGTGCAGGGGTACGGGCAGAAATTGGAAGCTTCGTTCATGTCGATCCAGAGACCGTCGATGTCGACACCGTCTTTGGGGTTGAAGAATCGCTTGAATTCCGAGTTCCAGTATTTCTGGGTGTCTTCGTTGAACCAGTCTGGGTAGACGGTTGGGCCAGGCCAGACAGCGCCTAGAGATGTTATGTTAGAAGGTGGGAATTGTGTTTCTGTGGGTAAATTTACCTTCGTAGAGTTCGCTACGTTCATCGTCGCGGTACAGGAAGACGCCCTCGTCGTGACCTCGTTTGTAAGCACCATTATCTGGTAACACACACGGTTAGAGTGGAAGTGAGGAGGGAAGTAATTATAACTTACCAGAGGCACTGACGGCCGGATCGACCATGAGAATGTAGTGCTGGTCATTCTTGTGAAGGTACGAAACCAACTCGCGCATCTTCTCGAGAGGGAACCGCTCATCGTCTAGTGTGAACACCTTTCGACCACTCATGTAGTCGATGTCGGTCCACATAGTCTCGAGTGGGATTCCAGCACGGCTGTAGTTGTAAACTGCCTCGGCGACGTCAAAGACATCCTGGTAACCATACCGACAGTTGTGGAACTAGAGAATGTTGATTAGAATACCACTTCAAAACATTCAAAAAAAAAAACCATTATAGGTGGAAATGACATACTCCAAACGTCCAGTAGCTTTGCATAGCAGGAAGGCCAACGACCTCCGAGTACTGCTCGCTCACTTCCTTGGGAGTAGGACCGGCCATGAAGTAGAAGTCAAGGACTCCGCCGATGGTGTTGTACTCGAGGTATTGTTTGCCATCAGCAGTCCTGTCAATCTTGATATCCATTCCATCCGAATTCAAGAAGAACACCCCATGAGTACCATTCTCTCCACGGTGATCAACGTAGACAGGATGAGTACCGTAAAGGTTCGTGTTGGAGGGGATGCCATATGCGTCACGGTTCCAGATCGTGCGAGTATAGTTTGAGGTAGGTAGACGCAGCGAATCACTGTGCTCACCCAGACCATACAGATTTGGATCGGTGGGGAGCCAAGTGCGCAAGTTTAAGTACTGGGACTGGAAGATGATCTTTGTATCAGTAGTGTCGAAGAGAACTTCGTCCCCGCGCAGAACGCGGAATGAGAAAGGGTTCTCTTCGAAGTCGAAGCGAAGAGCGGGCTCCTTTTGGTGACCTTTTGCGCTCGAGGGTCTGGGGAGAACAGATTCTGGAACTTGGTAGACCTCCTCATCGGCATCGTAGATGATGACATGGAGACGGGTTTCTTATAGAATTATGAGTATACATTCACTTGGGAATGATGGAGATGATGGAGAAGCATACCAGTTTGAGCCTCCACGAGGAGCTTTAAGTTTGGAAGATCAGTGCCATAGGTATTGCAGGCATCTCCAGCAAGACCAAGGTCAGCAGTCAATGTCTGGCCCAACTGCTTCACATTGGAAGCCTTGTAGCCAGGACAATGGTCAAGGTTAGATGTCGATCCCAGAACGGCGGCTCCCACGAGGGGAGCCAGGAAAAGCAGTGCGCCTTTCATGTTTAAAATTGGGCGAGCACTGAAGAAGCACAAGATGAGCACAGCAGGATACACTCAAGATGTAGGAGGGACAGTGCACCTTTTAAAGGATGCAGTGGCCGGGATCTGAAGTGAGGGGTGGTGGGGAGTAATGCAACATGAATCAAGGGGATACACGAGAAAACTGTTTGTTTCCCACATGATTAGCTTGAATTGACATATTGCTCTGTTGCATCGTCAAACGTTTGCGCGGGGAGACGGGCAATTATCGGACGGTCCCTCTTGGCTGTGCGCCATCCCCGGGTTTCGGGCCTATACAAGGTACCCTAGCTCCAGTAGCTCCGGATTCACGCTGCAGGGTCCATTTTTATCCCATCTTTGATTGTTGCTGTTATTTCCCCAGTATTAGCCCGGCTTATTGCCGAGAATGACGTCGGGGGACGGTTTGACTTGGTTGACTTGCAAGGTCCCCATCTGTTACATTGACAATTGTGCCTCTACAGTTTCTACCTTCTACATCGACCAACAATTGTGTCAAATAACCATTTCATGGGCTTTCTATTCTACCCAATGGCATCCTCTAGACATCATTCGTGAATATAAAAAGAAAATCGCCAACGCCAACGGCCGCTCTTGACCCCAACCAGAAACCCACTAATGCTCTCAGATACCGCTCATCTTTTTACTCTCTTCGTTCAAAACTTCTCGCCAGCAGTGGCGGCCTTGACATCTTCCTCAGAGCTCATAATCTGCACCTTGATGGCGCCAGTCTTAGGATTAGCAGCGGTCTCAAAGGCCTTGAGAGCGTTCTCAAGAGAGTAGCGGTGAGTAATCAATTTGTGCAAATCGATCACGCCGTTCTGAACCAGTCGGATGGCTCGAGGCCAGGTGTTGCAGTAGCGGTACTGGTACTGCAAGTCAATCTCCTGGGTGCTGAGACGCATGAAGGGAATGGTCATCTCGTTCTTGCCGACACCGATGACAAACACCTTGCCACCGAACTTGACACTCCAGATGGCGGAGCTGACACTGATCTCGACACCAGTGCACTCCAGGGCCAGCGTGGGGCGCAGAGCGTCAGGGCCAGAACCCTGACCATCATTCAAGGCATTGATGATACCGTCAGCACACTCTTCAGCGGACTTGCCAATCTCCACCTTATAAGTGCGCACTTCAGGAGCTAGAGATTTAGCAAAAGCCAAACGGCCCTCGTCAATGTCAGTGATGACAATAGGACAGGCACCAGCAGCGCGTGCACTGAGCAAACTGATCAGGCCGATGGGACCGGCACCAGTGATGAGCAGTGGGTCACCGAGACGCAGGCCGCTGCGCTCGATAGCCGCCAAGGACACACTGAGGGGCTCCAACATAGCACCGTCCTCATATCTCATATCGCCGATCTTGTGACACCAGATGGCAGGGTGGTTGACGTACCGCCGGAGCAGGCCATGGATAGGCGGTGTGGAGAGGAAAGCAACATTCACGCAACCGTTATAGCGGCCGGTCAGACAGGGCTCGCAGGCGTTACAGATAATATTGGGCTCAACGGCAACGCGGTCGCCGACCTTGAGGTGGGTGACATCAGGGGCGACGGCAATGATCTGGCCGGCTGATTCGTGGCCGAGGACATGGTCGCCCTTGACGATCATTGGGCCGATACAACCAGCATGCCAGAAGTGCACATCGGATCCACAAATACCAGTGCTGCGCACCTCAATTGTGACCTCGCCCGCCTTCAGGCCCTTGCCAGAATTGATGTCCGCTACTGTCGGGTTGGATTCGGCGATCCAGAGGTCATGGTTTGGGTTGGTGTAGACACCGATGTTGGTCTTAGTGACGGTTGTTGCGGAAGTCATTGTATAGTGTGGAGAGGGAGAGGGGAGAGGAAGAAAATGGAGAACAAATGCCTAAATGCGAGGAAACAGCCACTTTAATACTCCAACCCGCATCAATGTCCGGTGATCTCATATTGTTCAACCCCACGGTGATACATATGGAGTAGCGAAAAGTGGAGTGGAGGGGCTTTCGATTTAACCGCGCGGGGGTCCAACTGCTTTTTCCGTCTGAATGAGGCAATCCTTGCCCGCTCTCAATCTCGGGCCGAATGTTAATCGGCTATCGGTTAATATTGTGCTGAAGGCTCCCGGTTCTGATTTCCTCCAGGGCTATTTTCTCATGTTATCTTGGTTCGGTTCAGAAATCAACCTGGAGTCCCTCTGGGTCAAGTAAATAATGTGGTCAAGGTGAGAACCCATTGCATCAACAAGAGAGGCAATTCTCCGGCGGAGATGAATTCATTTTTCCGAGACAAACAGTGCAAACCTTTATACAGCCACAGGCAATATCTATTATTTACATCCATGAATGTCTCTCTACTATATATGATGTCTACATGTACAACATGCATAGGCAGATACAATTTGTCTTACCATACTCGATTCTCTGCATGCTTCGTGTTACGCGCCTACCAGGATCTAGCAATCAATTTCTCGGATATATCATAGGCAGTGAGGAGCTGCGTAACAACTCTTCCTATTTCACTACCTACTGGAGGTAGTATTGTGTGAGACAAATTCAACCATAGGCTCATCCTGTGCTATTTTTCATTAGACCGACTACTACGGTTGTCTAGTGGTGTCACAATTGTAAGGTGACGATGAAGAATACAGGAGGCAGCTATGCATGTAGATATCTAACAGATTTATGGATTATGTGCTGTAGCATTATGCATAATCCCCTAGTATATTTGCTCTTTATACTGACACTTCCCTGGGTAGCTTCTATGTTGGTTGGACCGTTCTCTCTGGCTTATAGGTCGCTAGTCGCTTTTTCTTATGGTAAATTCCACTCTAATCTCGCTTTTTTTCTCGATATATCATTTATCTGTTGTCCTTGATGCATTGCTTGCATCGGATTTTGGAAATCTGGACTCAATCTTACTGACTGGTGGAACAATTAGTGCATCTATACTCCATACTAAATATTGCGTTTATATATTTTGGCTCACAATAGCTTCGATGTGCATATGTTTTTGAAAATTAAATCCGCGGAGCATTTATCACACCGTAGAAGCCCATATATTCATCAATCCGTCTAGAAGGAAAAAAATTATCAACTTATTTCTACCATCCGGAGTGTAGTGCCGGTTGTGATTCGACTGGCAAGGCCGGATGTAGGTATGAATGTACAATGCTATAACAAGGTGCTCAGGTTACCATCCACTTTCAGGTTGACACCTTCTAGCAAGATGAGCTTCAATATTTAAAAGTAAATCCATAAATCCTTACATCTCCTCCAAATTTATATTCCAGAAAAGTAGATTGTTTACTTGGGATAAACGGCGACTCACGTGACCCGTAATTCCTGAAGTTCCCGAGCGTCAAATCTTCATCTGGTTCTCCGTTGCGCGATTCTCCAGATCATTAGATCATACTGCCCTCCTATTAGCAACTGCTTCGGGTGTCCTTTGCTTCCCTCCTCTTTTCCACTCATTTCCTCCACAACATTCAAAATGCCCGCCGTCACCCGTGCCGTCCTGCGGCAATCGCAGTTGCTGACCCGGAGAACCGCCGTCAGACACGCCTCTTCCACCTCGGAGGCTGCCACTAAGGCTGGTGAGGCTGCTTCCTCAGCTGCCTCCAAGGCCTCTGCGGGTCTGTCCAAGGTCTCTGCCTCCGCTGGCCCTGCCCTCGCGAATGCCGCTGGTGCCCTGCGCAAGATCGGTGGACCCGCCGGCAAGGTCATCTCTTTCGTCGATTGTAAGGGACACTCCTCTTCTCCCGTCCGGATGGCTACAAAGGAGCGTTGGACATTGGGTACTTATTAAAAGAAAAAAGGCAACGATTGACCGATTGATCCGGTTGGAATCGTGGCGCCCAGTCCCAACCTCCTTGTTGACCTCAATCCGCGGGTTACGTTCGCGAAGGTGCACAACTAACCGTCAATCAATAGCCATGATCCCTCCTACCATCTACTACTCCAAGGTCGGAATTGAGCTCGGCAGACTGGTGTTCCGTGGCCAGAACATGGCTCCTCCGTAAGTCGGACCCCGTACTCGATTCTTTACTCCCGACCTAACAATTCCTCCTAGCAACCTGGCCACCTTCCAGTCCTACTTCCAGCCTTTCATCACCAACCCTGCCGCCCTCAAGACCCTCCCCTCCCCATCGTCTATCATCGCCTCTATCCGCAACGCCAGCCCCAAGCAGCTCGCCCTCGTCGGTGTCACTGCCGCTGAGGTCATTGGCTTCTTCACTGTTGGCGAGATGATCGGTCGGATGAACATTATTGGTTACCGTGGCGAGCCTGCGCACGCGCACTAAATGGATGTTGATAGATGAGAATCGTCCTTTCCTTTCTTTCATATGTTAATCGTCCCGCGCTGTGTATGATAGACGATGGAATTTAAACTGTTGTCTGAGATAGACCTTGTTATTGCAATTCATTCCTGTGCTATTTGTGCTCTAAAAGCTACTGTAATCTAAAGGTTCATTGACTTCGGCTATCCTTATTCTTCCCACATCTCTCTGTAATCATGATCCGGATCCCCTAGGTATGAATATAGTCCTGATATCATATATCTCTTACGTTCAGACACTTCATCTGTGGTTTATCCTCTCGTTATTTTCCTCGGCGGCGGCGATATATAACGCGCAACGCTGATTGGTCCGGGAGGAAAGTCGGCGGACCACTTTTTTTTCTTTTCAGAATATCATCGACATTTTCGACTCAACCACAAAAGATATGGATGCGTTCAGATTGTTGACCAGGTCAACAAAATTAAAGCCCACCTCCTCGGCTGCGGACTCTCGTCTGCCGTCCACCGGGAAAGCAGCTAACCCGCAGCTCTTCCGGACGGCGGAGACCGACAAGCTCGAGTCTGCCAAGAATGGCAAAAAAAGAAAGAGAGGCGCTGCTGTCCAACAGGATGAGGAAGATGTCCCTGAACTCGACTTTTTCAGTTCAAACAAGCGCCCTGCAGCTAGTGTGACGGAAACCGCTGCTGCGACCGAGGACGATGA